GAATAAATAAGAATCAGAAAGGTTAAAGAACCGCAGAGTTCCCAGGGATCCCACCAGTGCAGCTATAAGGTCTGGGGAAGTCACTGTCAGGTTTTGCAGTACAGCCTAGCTAGAAGGCATAGAGGTATACAATGTCAGGTATTCAGGGATCAGAAAGAGAAGGAAGATATAGAGAGACAAGATACTGAGCTATGAAGAAAGACAAAAAGGCAAAAAGAGGGAAAAGAAAACAAAACAAATTAAAAAAAAAAAAAAAAGAACAAGAAATTCCCCCCCAAAAAACAGAAGGAAAGAAAAAAAACCAACGAAGAAAGAAATGCTCTCAGGGATCCCTCTGCACGTCTGTGGAAGCCGAAGGGGAGTTCCCTGCCACGCAGCTCCGCCTGGCCAGAAAGGGCTCCCAACTGAAGAAAAGGAAAAGAAAACAAACAATTCAAAATGAACAAACGAACAAAAGCCCCAGGATCCCACCAGTGTGGCAGCCCAGACCAGGAAGCAGCTCCACACTCGAACGGAGCTCCGCAGCCCCTCAGGAAGAAGCAAAGATGGCACACGGAGCCAGGCACTCGAGCGAAAGGAGGGGTAGGCGGCGAGAGGCAAGCAAGAAATCAAAAGAAGCCGGGGTGGGGGGTAAAAAAAAAAGCAACACCAGCAGCCAACAAATGGCACTCAGAGAGCCAGCCAGTGCGGGCTGGCGTCTCTGGACAAGAGACCGTGTCTGCGGGAAGCAGAGGAGGCCGAGTGTGGGTGAAGAAGGGCAGAGAATGGGAAAGCATATATCACAAACTGCCAGCGCTCTGCAGCCTCTCAGGAAGAAGCAAAGATGGCGCATGGAGCCAGGTACTCTAGTGAAAGGAGGGGGAGGTAGCAAGAGGCAAGTGAGAAATCAAAAGAAACAGAAAAAAAAAAAGCAACACTAGCAGCCAGCAAATGGCACTCAGAGAGCCAGCTAGTGAGGGCTGGTGTTTCTGGACAAGAGACTGGGTCCGCGGGAAGTGGAGGGGGCCGACTGTGGGTGAAGAAGGGTAGAGAGTGGGAGAGCGTATATTACAAATTGCCGGCGCTCTGCAGCCCCTCAGGAAGAAGCAAAGATGGCGCACGGAGCCAGGCACTCGAGTGAAAGGAGGGGGAGATGGCGAGAGGCAAGGAAGAAATCAAAAGAAGTGGAAAAAAGCAACACCAGCAGCCAACAAATGGCACCCAGAGAGCCGCCCACTTGGGTGTGTGTAATCCAAGCAGCCAGCGCTTCCAGGTCAAGAGACCATGGCCGCGGGAAGCAGAGGAGGCCGAGCCGAGGCGAAGAGGGGTGGGGGGTGGGAAAGTGCACACCGCAAATTACCGGTTGTTTTGTCTCCCGCTGGATGCTACGTGAGGCTGCTTTCTCATACCCCGTTTGCTGGTCTCCGATAGGAGTCCAAGATGGTGGATCCGTGCTGCGTTAGCTGGTAGGGGACCTCTGCATGAATCTCTCCTCGCTCTCCGCTCTCTGTCAGTTTTCTTACTCCATTTGGTGCTTGGCTGAGTTCTTTATCTCTTCATTTGATGTTCTAGGGTTTCAGGATTGTTGTATTCTCTGTTCGGCTTAGTTTTTCGGATCTTTGCTGTGGAGGGACGGCGTAGTGCTTCTGCCTAGAGCGCCATTTTGCCGGAACCAGTACCATTATTTCTTAAGGTAAAAATCCAATAGTTTATATTTTTAAAAGAAATCTATAAGTACACCAGAATTTGTTAGGTGTTGTACTCCCTAATGGTCCTGAAATCTTTCTTTATCTTGCTTTCCCACCTTCAACAAAGAAAGATCGAGACTGCTATGCTTGGAGTATTCCATTTCTTTTTGTTAAATAATGAATTTGAATGTATTAAATGTAAGTATATAACTATGAATGTGAATAAACACTTAAACAAAATGCAATTATTTTTAAGTGCCATAGAAATAAAACAAAATGTATTTGGTTGCATATTAGAATGATTCCCGGATACAATTTTTAGCTGTGTCAAAATCCAGATAGCTGCCTTTTATAAGATTAGACATTTAATAAAAACCAAGAAACTTTTCAGTGATTTACATTACATCACACTGCCAAGAAAGCACAACAGATTCATTATTCAAAGACATCTAGGGTGGAATTACCAACAAGAACTTGGCAGCAAAATCAGTCGGAAACACTTTGGTCTTAATAGAAGAATGATTGTATATTGTATTAATTGAAACTTTTGGTTGTGTGACAGATGTCGTGCTCTAAGAAGGTCCTGTAACTTTTTGTTTCAGTTCTGCAGTGAGGAGGGAGGGGCCAATGGAAAGGGGAGAAGTGAAAAAATCTGCTTTCCTCCCGCCGCTATCACATGTCCCCAGCCCTCAACACATGCACACACACAATGCCTGCAAAACTCACAGATCTTCAGTAGTCAAAACCCAGAAGGACTTAATTTAATTCACCCTACATAGAAAGTAGAGTCCCTGGGTGGAACAAACAGTTGATGCGCTCAGCTGCTAAGCAAAAGTTTGGAGGTTCGAGTCTACCCAGAGGCACCTAAGAAGAAAGGCCTGGTGATCTACTTCCGAAAAATCAGCCACGGAAAACTCTGCGGAGTACAGTTCTAGTCTGACGCACATGGGGTTGCCATGAGTCGGGGTCGACTTGACGGCGACTGGTTTTATGTTAGAAAGGACAGAGATTATTGTGCAAAGCAGTAATCAAAAGTAAATGATAAAGCTAGAAATTCACTTTAAAAGGGGGGGAAAACCTGACATTAAGTGGAGAGGGAAATAAGAATTTGAGAAGCTTAAGATGAAATTTGAGCTTCAAGTTAAAAGGTTTAAGATCTAAGCTTCTCAGGTGGATTAAAGAATAATGATCTTGAAATGAAGACAGGATGTTAAACAGGAAGAAAAAGCTTGGAAATGTCAAGTGGAACAAAGAAGACGTCCAAGCATGTGGTGGACTACGTGGAATTGTGAGCACCTCCTTCTTGCATAGATGTTAGCTGTCAAATTAAAGTTGAAGCCTCTTTGTGAAGTTGAGTGTGCTTTTTGGCTGCGATTCTGATTTCAAGTACCAGAATTAGAATTTTCCTGGAATAACTTCTCATGCCAGCCCGACTCATGCTGCTTTAATTGTCCCTTTACTTAGGAGTATGAGACCCAATCCACTGCAGAAGCCAAATACGTGAAGCAGCTGGACCAGTGTGAGATGATTCTACAGGCATCGGAATATGAAGACCTTGAGAACAGACCTGGGAGACTGCAAGACTTCTACGATTCCACAGCAGGTACTCAAGCTGTTTTCAGTAATAATCAGCTTTAGCTTGGCTTATTGGTGCAGTGAAGTTATGTTACTGAAACCCACTGTTGTTACTCTCTTCCCACTCTTTTATATGGAACATCAAAAAAGAAAATACTAGGATTCCTAGTGAGAGGCAGTGTGGTGGATAAGAGCCGACCTGGAATCTGAGCACCATGTTCACATTCTGGCTCTGCCACCTACTAGCTGTGTGCCCATGGGCAGTCTCGTGACCTCTCTGAGTCTGTGTTCTCATCTGAAAAATGGGAATCGTAGTATTCACCCTACTTAGATCAAGATCGATACTATGCTTTGTAGTCTGTAATGCTTTATAAATGTTAGATGGAGGTAGAAATAGATACTTGAAAAAGGAAAATCTCAAACAGCTGTGATCACTGTCATCATTATAGTGCTTCATAGCACAGTCCGGTGTCAGACTCCGGTTTCTTTCAATCCTGGTTCTGCCACATACAAGCTGTGTAACCTTTGGTAAATCACTTAACCTCTCTGAGCCTTAGTTTCCTTATCTGTAAAATGGGCATAATTACAGGGTTGTTTGAGAATATAGTAAGTTAATTTATATAAGGTGTTTAGAGCAGTGCCTGACATGTCATAACCTTTAATAATCATTAGCTGTTTTCATTTTGATATAATTTCCCACCTGTAGAGCTAATAGATTATTAATACAGTGTGAACAATAGCGGTGGCTATTGTTTGTGTTGATCCCTGGTATCTCTTCAGGCATAGCTCAACCTCCATCTCCCCTGAGAGTACTGTTAGCGATAGCCTTTCTGTAACCCTCACATGGCCTCACCAAAACAGAGAAAGCTCCAGCTCATCGACTATATTTAAAAATATGATTTGCAGTTGATTCAGTTTCCCCTCTCACCTTTCCAACCCCACTTCCTCTGCCCTAGACAAGGCTTTCATTATTTCTGAGTTGGGCTGCTTTTCTCAATGGGAGCCCTGGTGGTACAGCGGTTAGGAGCTTGGCTGCTAACCAAAAGGTCATCAGTTTGAATCCACCAGCTGCTCCTTGAGAACCCTATGGGGCAGTTCTATTCTCTCCTATAGGTTTGCTATGAGTCGGAATTAACTTGATGGCAATGGGTTTTTTTGTTTTCTCAATGTTTTCCTCCTTTGTGGATGTAGGCATCATCACATCTGTATTTAAAAAAACTTCCATGGCTTTCCTTTTTTCTAAAAAATAAAATCATGGCACTTTTGAATGACCTAAAAGGCCCTGCAGTATGACGCCACCCATGTCTCTGGTCTTCTATCCACCCACTCTCCGTGGGTGTGGTGTGGCGCAGGTTAGTGGCATCGGGGGGCTCCTGACTGAATGCGTGGCTGAGGGAACCAGCCTGGGAGGAGGCAGTGGTCGAGATCACAAGTCTGAGGAAGCATCCTGAGTTCCAGGCTGTGGGCCAGTGTCAGTGACCAGGGCATCTAGTATGAAAGGCAGGGAGGGACATGGTGGCAGGACTTCTGAGTGACAGCACCACTGGTGTCTGACTTGGGAGGTCCATTTGAGGAGATATGGGATATCAGAAACCAGCCCCTGTCCCTGAGAGAGGGGCAGGTGGGAAAATCGGTGGGCATTTGGGCTCTGTTCACTTCATACGTCAAGTTCTTTAATCCCTGTGGCTGGGTGGGATGTAGGCACATGGGATTGACACAGAGGTACTGATTTCCTGGGTGTTCTCCCAAGTACCTCCACCTGAATGCCCTTTCCGCATTCCATTCCTTGTAGAACCCTACTTACACCTCTTTGAAGCCTTCCATGATCCTTCTGTTAGAATTAATTGTTCCCTTCTTTTTGCTCAAGCTGCACTTGGTATTTTAAAAGGGTCACTTGGGCTAGAAGCAGGCAGACCAGTGGGGGGGCTATTGCAATATGCAAGTGATAAACAGTGGTGCTTTGGACCAGGTGATAGTAGTAGAAGTGAGAAGTGGCCAAATTCTGGGTATACTTCGAATACAGAGCCAACAGAATTTGCTGAGAGGTTGGGTGTAGGGTGTTTGTGAGAGGATTCCAAGGATTTTGGCCTGGGCAACTGGAAGAATGGAGTTGCCGCTAGATAGGGAAGGATAGGTTTGGGGGAAGAAAATCAGAGGTCCTAGAAGCCAAAGGAAGAAAGTGTTTCAAGGGGAAAGGAGTGATAGCTTGCCAAGTGCTGCTGAGAGGTCAGGTGAGATGGGGAATGACAATCAGCCACCTGAGTGTTTTAGCAACATGGAAGTAATTAGTGCCCTCCATAATAGCAGTTTTCGTGGAGTGGTAGGAACAAAAATCTGATTGGGGGGTTCAAGGGATAATGGAAGGAAAAGAGTTAGAAACAGTGAGTATAATCCACCCTTTAGTGAATTTGCCTTAAAGGGGTATAAACAGATGGAACCATAAGCTAGAGGGGACGCATGGTCAAGTGAGGGTTTGTTTCAGGATGGGAGATGAAAGAGCATTTTTCTGTGCCGGGGGGGCAGGCAGTGGTAGTTCACTTGTAGAATTCTCACTTTCCATGCGGGAGACCCGGGTTTGGTTCTTGGCCAGTGCACCTCAGTGTGCCCCCACCATTCGTCTGTCAGTGGAGGCTTGCGTGTTGCTATGATTCTTAACAAGTTTCAGCAGAGCTTCCAGACTACTTTCTTCCTTCCTAGGAAGAAAGGCCTGGCTATCTACTTCTCAAAATCAGCCAGTAATCACAACAGTCTGATCCACAACTGATCATGGGGTAGCATATGACTGGGCAGCATTTCTCTCAGTTGTGCATGGGGTCACCATGAGGCAGGGGCCGACTCGACAACAGCTGCGACAACATACGCTGATAGAAATAATCAAGGAGGGACAGAGGGGTAAGAATTGCCGGGGCTGGGACTCAGTGGGGAGGCTTCTCTGAGGAGCAGAGACAGTTCACACTCACTAACAGTTATTGGCAGTGACAAGTTCCAGGTGTGCCTGTGGGAGGAGGTGGCTGATGTTTCTACAGGAGAGGAGGTCACGGAACAGAGAGGCTGGGTTTTTGGAAGGCTAGTCTGCATGTGCATTGAAACCACCAAGAATCATGACAGATGATATTAGAGTGTATTGATGAATCTGAAGCTGTAACTTTCCAGGCACGAAGAGGGGTGACTTATGGTTCTTTCAATGATGGCAACCAGGAGGGGCAGTGAGTGGTGTCGTCTGAGGGCATGAGCTTTAAGGAAGGGGGCAGAGGACGGTCTGGGAGCAGCAAGAGGAGCATGGAGGACAGGCTTAGGCGCTGTGGTAAGAGGGGTGTGAGAGAGAAGACGGCCACCATGTGAGGGGCTATAGGGAAAGCTGTACCCTCAGGACGAGCCAGGCATCAGTTAGGGCCCTACCTAAATAATAATGCTTTGCCCAATTCTCATCCATATACTTAATGGCATCGAGGGTGACAGAATAAACTCCAAGGGCTCGCCTTTGGCTCCTCTTCAGCACCTAGAATCGCATTCTTCTGTGTTTGCGTGAAGTTATGAGTCAGATCACTGAATACAGCCCCTGACGAGCCATGGGATCAAGTGGGAGCAGCTGATTTTTCTTGTGAATATAGGAATGTCTTTTTCTCCGTCTTCTTGTTTTGCAGGAAAATTCAGCCACCCTGAAATAGTCCAGCTTGTGTCTGAACTTGAGGCAGAAAGGAACACCAGCATCGCTGCAACCTCCAGTGAGCCGCACTCCTGAGGTGTTCTCTACGTGCCTGTGATTCTGGAACGAACCTGTTATTTTCCCATTTCATGGCATTGTGTTTGCCACTGTCAGTCTGATTTCCCCAGATGTGAGTCTTTACTTTCAATTGTCCGGACTCCAGCAAGAAACAGCATGTCATTTGGACAATAAAAGAAGCTATAGAACAGGATGCGGTGATCAAAATGCCATAGATGAAAACTTGAGTAGGGAAGCCTTTTTTATGAACTAAATAAATAAATGTTAAAAGCCTACAACCTTGGAGTATTTACTGGAGATTTTAAACCATCTGATTCTGAATTAATAACCTATATCCCTGAAGGCCAGATTCATTGAACGATAGCAAATTTAATTATAATTGCTTTTAAGAATAGATTCTTCAGCTGACTTACTGATGAGGAGCTGGGGGGAAAAATTAAAAATGTCTTAGTAGTGCACTCTCTCCTCAGATGAAATGCTGTCTTTTTCAAGTGATGGCTGTCTTGAGCCAGATTTTGAATTGCACTTTGACCTGCTTTAGGTCTCTCTGATCACAGACTTGTAAACTAGCTAAGATGTTCCACCCGACCCCATTCCTTCCTATCATTTGGGGATATAAATTGGGGCTTACAGTCCTTTTCAAATGCCACTTGTCTTCCTTTGTGTATTTGTCACTGACTGACACTGACTGATTTCCAATGACCAGGTGAGAAATATGTAATCACAGGTATCAAACAAAAAAACCAAACTCGTTGCCATCAAGTCAATTCTGACTGATAGCAGCCCTATAGGGCAGAGTACAACTACCCCATAGGGTTTCCAAGGCTGTAATCTTTACGGAAGCAGATTGCCACGTCTTTCTCCTGCAGAGTGGCTGGTGGTTTCTAACTGCAGACTTTTAGGGTAGCAGAGCACTTAACCACTGTGCAACAAGGGCTCCAAGTGGGAGTAAACAAAAAAAAAAAAAAAACCAAACCGTTGCCATCAAGTTGATTTCAACTCATAGCGACTCTATAGGACAAAGCAGAACTGCCTCATAGGGTTTCCAAGGAGCAGCTGGTGGACTGGAACTGCCGACCTTTTGGTTAGCAGCCGAGCTGTTAACCACTGCGCCACCAGGAACACATCAGAACAGGTTTCTTCCCTTTATTTCCCTATCATCTGTCCTGTGATTTATTCCTATCCAAGGGGAAATGGCCATTCAAGATTTAGGATAAATAACAACCCCCCACCCCCCACCCCACCCCTTGCATTTCAGTGATGCACAAACCCTGAATGGTGAGGACAGAAGAACATCCATGCAAACATGCCAAGTATTTTGTGTGCAACAGTGATGCCTGTCCTTATAATTCAAACGTCAGTTTCCATTTGAAGAAGGCCTGTTAGGCTGCCATGGTGAGAATTCTAGGCGCGTTTCTTTGGAAACTGTTCACAGTATCCATGGATACCCAATCTGCAGGAAGCAAGGTGCATGATCTTTTCAGAAGCAACACAAATAAGTACATATAGTTGCTCTGCCTTGAAAAGCAGAGTGCAAAGTCTGATTACTATTGGACATATGGTTAGTAGGAAAACAAAACACCATCTATCAATATTGTGGGTTTTTTTTTCCTGGCATGAAAACATTTAACAAAATAACCCCAGATAAAGTTCAAATATTTATAACCAGAAGGTTTTCTGTGGCTCTTGAATTTTATTTTGAATGTTTTTTCTGCAGTAATTTTCATAAATAGTCAACACTTCACAGAGAGACTTAGGAAACTTCTACTGGGTCAGACTCAATACTGGTCACTTAATCATTAGCTGATCGGCTACCTACCAAGTTGGGGTTCACGGTTAGTCCTAAACCTTCCTCACTGGGCTAATGTGTTTAAAGAAGAAAAAATGTAACAGCGCTATAAAATAAAATCTTATTTAGGAAGGAGAGAACAAAATGAAGATCAATAAAAGGTATTGAATTCATCAGGAATGTCTATAAATATTTGAGCATTGTTACTTAAAAAAAATTTTCTTTTTTTGGAAAAGAGATCTACTTGCCTGAAATTGGTCTTCTTAATAACAAACTCTATAATTATGATGCATTTTAAATAATTTTTCTTGGGTTAGATGCAACAAAAATAAAAAGATTTCTTCTTCCTGCTTTTCCCCTGTGGACTGGCATTTCACCAGCTGTTACCTAATTCTCAGTGCCCGTGTATTTGAAAAATGTCAATCTCAAAGCCCCTGGGATAAATGACTGGGGAACTGACTTGTGAAATAGCATACTCTGTGCCCAGCATTTTTATTTAAGTATATTACCAGTCTTCATATTTAAAGGTGAGATAGACTTATGATGATGTTATTTTTGGTTTCCCTTCATATTATGCACTAAAGGCCATGTAGAAATGTAGCAAGAAAGACTTCTACCATTCCTAAATAGAGATTATCAAAAGTAACCATAAGATTATGACAAATAATATTATAGTTTGAAATTTTATTTTAACACCAAGTTTGAAGAAGTTGTTTACATTTCATATTAAATCAATTTTTAACCTTTTTAACACCATCTTCCTTTATTACATTTACCCCAACTCCAATTTGATAATGAGAAAAGGATGTTGGGGCTGAAGTTCACAAGGTTATTCACCATTTTATGGTAAAACGCAACATGTTTCAAGCTGACAAGGTGATTTTGGAAAAACGATGGCCGATGAACAGCTTAGATCCCCAGAGTTCTCCGGGTTGTCGTTGGTTGCCGTCAAGTCTATTGCAAGTCATGTCGAACCCACTGTAAATGACATGATTTATCAAGATGTTTGTTCCATAGTAAAGCATACAACTTGTACTGTTTTCTATGGTACAAAAGCAGATTTATAAGAAAATAGCTAATTTAGAGTAAGATGCAGATTACTTTGCCAGCATGACCTACCAATAGTAGTAATCTTTATGAGATGTGAGGTGAAAGATAAAGTTTCACTGTGACCTCAAGAATATTTTCCATCATAGCAGCAGTATTTTTAAAAAGTGGTAAATGGTTAAATTACAGAATGGTTCGCTTTTTTTAAAAAGCCAATTTGTTTTATTTTAAAATCACAATTTATTGGCATTTCTGATTGTTGGAATACATTTTTGTCAAGTGTCATTTCATATACACAGTGTTGACATTCTTCCTAATTTGTCCTCCAGCCTATGGGTTGAAGTTATGGTCCCATAGGGCTGGAAGCCAAACACTATCCAGCTGGCTTGTGACTGCTGGCTTGCCCACTGCAGTGGGCAGGGACTCTATTTCTCTGGGCCCCATCTGCAGTTGCCTGATGAGTTTGAAATGGTCCATATTCATAAACTCACAGCCGCCTTCTTTTTGACTGCACTCCTCACACTGTATCTTATTAAAGCACAGTTCTACCACGCCACCAGTTGTGGAGACAATGCTGACTCATGGCAACTCTGTGTCAGAGTAGAACTGTGCTTCATAGGGGTTTCAATGGCTGATTCTTCTGAAGTAGATCACCAGGCCTTTCTCTCAAGAAGCCTCTGGGTGTACTCAAACCTCCAACCTTTCCTTTAGCAGCTGAATATGTTAACCAACTGAACAGTGTGTGGCTTCCAGCCCTATGGGACCATGACTTCAACCCATAGGCTGGAGGACAAATTGCCGAGAATGTTAACGATCCTCCCAGCAGGGCTTCTTTGTCCACTCTGGATCAAGTTTACAGCCCCATTCCCTCTGCTAAAATTCCAGGTCTCAGAGATTACGTGGCCCTGAACCAGACTGATTTTCAGTTAAGCATGTGAATTATCCTGCTCCATTAATTTGAATAGAAATTTTCAGATTGACTTTACTTCACTATAGGACATAAATCCACTTCTATTTAATAATAAATTCAAAAAAATGAATAATTTACATACAAATATATCATATATATATTATGTGGACTTTTAAAATTATGATTTTTAATTAGTAGGTCTATTCAATGTGCATTTCAAACATTTATCTTGAGGCTATATCTCTGCTACCTAATAACAAATGTATGTTCCCATTTAGAAGAAGAAAAGAAACATACAGTGTGAAAGTTAAAAGTTACTTACTCCAGGAAATCTGGTTGTATTAATATGATGCTTTTTTCCATACATGTCAACAGTTTGTAAACTGGTCAGGGTTACAGAGCTCTGCTTCTCCCATTTTTTAGATATACCCCTTTTAGATGTCCCTAACCTGAGTTAACAACTATCTAGGTAGATTGGAGAGAATTTTATAAGTGGAGATTCTTTAGCAGCCTAGGGTAACAGGTCACAATTACTTGTACATCTTCTCTCACATTCACCACATTTAGCAGTAGAAGGTGATTTAAAATACCATCTGCAGAAACACAGCCAACAACTTTAAGGCCATCAATAACCTCTAAGACGTAAAGAAATTAAGAATTCAAAGTCTTATCATTAAAAGTAATTATTTTAATTGCTGAAGTAAATATATGTAATTTATGTTGGTAAGGGGGATCATAAGTAATTTAATAAACTTTTCAATAAGTCATTCATTGCTGGAGACAGTCATATAGAACTCCATTCTGTTAATCTGACTGCAACGAAAGAGGTTGTTCCCTCAGCCTTCATGGACATGCGTATCATAAGAGAGTCAATGCAAAAGCCAAAGCAAATAATTCAGAGCTACACGTTTGGAAAATGTACATTAAATTACAGAAAGAGAAGGGTTGTGACCAGTCATGTATCTACTCAGGGCATTTAAAAGATGACAAAATATGAATACTGAAGGTTGGTGGTGAGGTGTTTCAACACAAATACAAATGGAAGTTATTTTATTCAACTCTGTGGAGAGGCCATTTGAATAACAATGACAAGGCCTGGGTTTTTCCCAAGGGGAATTTGGTCTTCATATCTTGATGTGGGGGGGCAGGAGATGGGACTGGGCAGTGGCTGGGCCTCTGGTGTGGCTACAGCTGGGAGGAGCCTAGCACTGCAGCTCCCCTTCCTCCTCAACCCGCCGGGGGCCTCCAGCGGAGCTCTGGGCGCTGGCGTGGGCCGTGGAGCTGAGCACCTCTTCAAAACTGCCTCCGCTGTGGTTTGTCCCGCCTACTTTCGTCTAAAACCAGCAAAGACGAAGAAAAATCAAAATGGTTGTTTATTATTATTATTGCTATAATGTTTTCATAAGAATGCCAAAATCTTGATTACTTCAATTTCAGAAATACATTTTTTTTTCTATAGATGAGATGAAAAGGATGTAGAGAAGTTAGTTCCCTTTAACAGAGTGTTAAAATGTCCCTTCATACTTGGGCTCTGGGACAGGATTCAAACTTTAACTTTGTATCAGAATTTTAGCAACACTCTATCTATTCCACATCTAGGTTAAAATCCCCAATTCCTTCAGGAGCAAAACAAGATCTGTGGATTTGTAAAGTCTGTCTGCCCCCCTACTCTCCCCCAACCAATCTGATCAAAACAGAACTGGATTTTAGATTTAACTCCTCCAATTTTACAAATGTATAAATGTCACCAAGTGACTTAAATTTAGGCTTTCTACTTGGGAATTAGCAGGGCAATCTGGATTTCTGAGAATGGTCTCTTGAACAGCCGTCGTGGCTCAAATGAACGTGCTTTCTAAATGATCTCTGCCCTGCGAGGTGGCCATGGGTCTAGTCTTAAGGCGCTGGTAATTTCACACCTGCATGGGCAGCTTGCCTTTTAATAGAAATAGCCCTTAAAACACAAAGTAATAATGCTCTACGAGGTTCGCTTTTTGTGTTCTTATTATCAGCTTATAAAAAATAGAAGCAGGAAGAAATCATTTACAATTTAAAAATATGGTTAGGTATTTCAAAAAATTTCTTATTAGAAAGTCCTTCAAAAGAATATGTAACAGTCCCAAATACTTTATGCAAGTCTTAGTAATGTCACATTGGCCTTCTTTAGCCATTAAAAAGATGGAAAACCACTTGGAGGAAAAGCAAGATATAGAATAGATAATTATGTTACAACTGACAAATTGCCACCTACATCTCCGTGTCACCCAAGTGATCACTGACAAGAACAGGAATAACACCGAGAATGTGCATTACTCAAAACGCACTGCCTGGCCTGCCCTTCTGAAAAACTTAACCAGGGTTTTAAGCAGTTCAGTCATTACAAAAACAAGCAAACACTTTTGTCCAACTGTCACTAAAATCCCTCACTGCTTCTTAGCCCTTTTATTTATTAAATTGAAATTTTCACTCTGTTCTATGGTTTAGAAGGGGGGTCAGAAAACCCTTTCTGTACAAAGCTAGATAGTAATTTTTTAGGCTTGGAGGCCACAGTCTCTGCCATAAATACTCAACTCTGCTGTTGCAGGGTGGAAGCAGCCACAGACAAGTTATTAGTGAACGCGCATGGCTATGTTCCAATAAAACTTTATGGATAGACACTTTACATGTAAATTTCATGTAATTTAATTCTCTAACTTCACAGAATATTAGTCTCTTTTTTATTTTTTCCAACCACTTAAAATTTTAAAAATCATTCGTAGCTTGTGGGCAGCCAGCTGGGTTTGGCCCACAGGTAGTAGTTTGCTAATCTCTGGTTTACAGCATTGATTTCTCCTTTTCTCTGCCTGTTATCTTAGCACAAGGAATGGGGGAGTGTTTGCAACTATGTAATTTTCTCTATCTTTATTTCTTTCCTTAGAGAAACAAATAAGGTTTCATCAATGCAATCTACTCTTATTAATAGTCCCCATTCGCCTCTTTTTTTCTCCCCCACTTAAATTCTCTTTTGCAATAGAAATCACACACAGTGTTGAATCAGGTGAATACCAATTACTGCGATACTCTTCTGAGCTTTGCTTCATTCTTCTCTCCCACATCTGATTTTTCTTGAGTAAAATGAAGAAAGAGGGAGCCTATTTGAAATAATTTGGAAGGGAGTGGAATAAAAGGGATTTCCTAGCTATGTGGGTTTAATGACCACATACCTGAATACTTTAGGCAAAGACCTGCTTATGCAGAGACATGGACTATAAATCTTTCCTGGACCCTTCCAGGCATAATTTTTTGTTTCCATGTCCTGAAAATTATAATTGTTTTTTGCATAAAATTTCATTTGAATTACTGAGTTAGTTTTCCTGATCTCTCATAATAAAACAGCTGGCCGATAAATAAACAAGAAGTAAAACATACCTTGCTTTTTTTTTTTTTAAGGATTTGATTCAGGTCATGTAATGTACAGCTGTACAGCCATGCGCCACATTACGTCCATTCAGGCAACATCCGACCACATATACATCCGTGGTCCCGTAAGGTTATAATAGAGTTCAGAAATCCCAATTAGAGAATGGGACGTAGTGGACATATCTAACATCAGTTAGTAAAATGCTTGTATTAAAATACAGTACATACTGTGCCTTTCTATGCATTAAAAACATTAAAGAAACACAGATACACTAAAACATCTTTAACATAATAACACAGTAATAATAATAATGTGGGTCACAAAGTAGCGCCCATTTGTTATTAACAACCATTGAATGTACTTCGAAGTTTTAATATAATAGGCTTTATGGGGGTTGTTTTGTAACTATAGGTTGTACATAAGTCAGATGTTCCTCACGCAGGAATGCCTGTATATAATATGGTGTTTGCACAACATCCAGATCACATAATGTCCTATTTCATAGAACACATTGTAGACATTAAGCGATGCATGACTGTATTCATCAAAAAGTAGATGCCCTAAAAATATGGTCTGCTTACATGGGTGCAGAACAGATGGAAGGGAAGTAGTTCATGATTATTCACTGGAACATGGTAGAAGATGCCAAATGTGGTTTCACAGGAATTGATTCTGGGGTTGATGCTTTTTAAACTTGTCTGTCTGTTGGTTGGTTGGTTTGTTTTGGATGAAGTAGAGAGTATGCTCTTTGACTGTAGAGGTGACATCAGCTGAGATGTCATAAAGCATTGCAAGGATTTAGGAAGAAAGGACTAAATTTTATATAATTGTGATGAATTGTGAAGTTTTTCATGGAAAAACAAACTATATACAGAATTATGTATAAAAGAGAACAATCAATTGGGTACAAATGCCACATGGTGCATGACAGATTGTGTAAGAAGATGGCAGGAGTGGACCTCACTTCACAGAAGAACATTATCTCTAATAGAACACAAATGCGAGCATGATTCGCTGTTACTGGTGTTTCTAAAAATCAAGCTGAACAACAGTATATATGAAGAGAAAAGCAGCATTTAGACCTGCAAGGAATTTCATTCATCCTTACTGATTCATGAATCATTCCCTCAGAAGAAAGCTGTCTAGGGATCCATGATTGAAGAAAGACATAAAAATTTTGGAGATTTAGAACAACAACAACAAAAAAAAAACTATACAAAAAATAAACTACATAAAGCAGGGTTAAACAAATCTATTATTTAGTCTAAGGGAAAAAAGAGTAATGAGACGTTCCTAATTACTGAGGAAGTGAGAGGTTTTACACAAAGCATGATTATCAGTTATTCTCCATCGCCTGAGCGGGCAGAGAAAGAAGGCATTGGCCATGTCATACAAAGTGGATGGATGTGAGTCTTGTTAAACTCATAGACAATCATGCATGCATAGAATTCACTTTCAGGAGGTCTTGACATAAGCTAGTATCAGATCAGCTGAGTTAGTGACGTGCATGTCTGAAGGAGGAGGAAGGCTCCACACCTTCCATCCCCGTGAGGCAAGAGAAGTGAGAGACTAAGGGTGTGGACCAAACACTTATATCATATGTAATCTGTGAGCTTACCAGAATTTTCTAAAAGCAAATGAAAATAGGTTGTTCTTTATCTTCTTTTGCTTCTTCATATCCTGTTCTTCTAAAGAAAACCTAAAAAGTACAACTTCTCCTATGTCAGAACTTATCTAACAAAGAATTCAACCTCCTTGGATTGTCTAAGGCTAAAAACCAAAAGTTGAGAAGCTGAATTCCTAGGATTTCTGAGCCTGTTGTTTTGATACTAAATATTCTAGCAAGAGAAATGTCCACAACACTGTATGTCCCTCCCTTTCAAAAAATTTCCTTACAAATGGGGCAATTTAATGGCTCCTGCTGGTTCGTGTGGGAGAAAGATGTGGTAGTCTGTGGAAACCCTATGGGGCAGTTCTACTCTGTCCTTTAGGGTCACTAGGAGTTGGAATCAACTCGATGTCAATGGGTTTTTATTTTTCTGGTTTGGACTGGTTCGTGTACATTCAGTAAATTATAATTTTGACAAGCAAAGTAGTGAACTAGTAGAAACAGCTGGTTAACGAATGAAACCAGTGAAGGCATGGTAAACAGTGAGCAATTATTTCATTCTTAGGCCTTAAACACTTAATCTCAGGTGTAAAAAAGTAGACTATGGGAAAGATCCTCTCCTAAGGGAAAGACCTTCTGGGTCAAAATCAATAAGAGCATCTAGGACATCTAGAAAAGAATACCTTACAGCCTCACTCATATCAGGTTGCATATGTGAGAGAGAGTAATATGGCAATAGAACATTCAGAAAGAGCTGAGTAATCAGCATGGGCCTGTATCTGCTTCCGATCTGGTTAAAGATAACTCATATTCTTAATTTTCCTAGTAATAGTGAAATACAGCAATGGACTGTACACAAAATAGTGATAATTGTTGGAAGATGCAATCAAGTTTATGAGATAGCTTTCTTAAAAAAAATTATCATCCTGGCAGTTTTAATGACTTTTCCTGATTTTGTATATTTTAAGATGATACTGATTTTATTTTTGCTCTTTTCTCCTCTGTAGACTAGCTTATTTTATCTATTCTCAACCAATAAATACAGTATTTTTTAGCACCTACCATGTAATACACATATTTTCAGAGATCAAATGCATTATTACAGAACAACATATTTTGTCATTCAGCTTAACGTTCCCTAGATGATAATCAATTGTGCTCAGCATGTTAATTTAGTGAACAATTTTAGGTTGCTGACGGCTTGTGGATGGCAGTTTAATACACTGCAGCAAGTTCATTTTTGCTGGTCCAAGCCCAAACTAGAGGATCTCTGAGCTGTTACTGAGCTTTTACTCACACTCTAAATTCAGATTCACATACCCTTTATCCCATCTACATTTCTCTTTCACATATCTACTTTTTGTGGGATAGCATTAAGAATTCTAACCAGCAAAGAGACTGATAAGTAATGAACAAAAACCCCAGTTCGCTTTAATGAACAATTTGCCCCTGAATGGATTACGCAGACAACTCTGTGAGGATACAGTAACACTTTTCAATACTGGTTTAATTTATAGATTTATACGTGAGGGAAAAGAATTGACTTCGTGCAAGTTCGCCTTCAGGGATGCACAGAATACTGGCTAGCACCACCTTCGAACTAACCACAGCAGTAACTAAGCTGTCCGGATTCAATGGACTTAACCACACAAAATTTGCTTGTCTGTACCTTAAGGCTTGTGACAGTTGTCTCAACCCTCTCCTCAAATGATTTGAAAGTAGGAGAATTCCTAAAATAATAATAATAAAAAAAAAAAAAGAGGTCAGCTCCAAAGACATAGCTGTCTTAGCAACCATGTTGTTTAGTTTTCTGCTCTTATTTGTAAACGTCACCTCGGCAGCAGAGCTAGCTGTCAGTTTGCTACCTACACCAACCATGTTTTTAAAAAAATTTCACTTTTGCTAGGTTAGGGCCAGATACCATAACCTGACATGTATGCTTCTAAGTAAAATGGTCAGATACTCAACTGTAGAATAAACAATATAGCATTTGGCAAAGATCACCAGTTGCCATCGAGTCAATTCCAACTCATCGTGACCCCATGTGTATCATTTTGCAATTATAAGACTGAAATAATTCTACAATGCACTGCCTATCATTTCCAATGAACTGAAGGAGTAATAGCTCAATTTTTCATTTACTAACTATATCTGTATCTCTCACAACTCTCCTTTTTTAACTCAGTTTTTTGTAAGCAATGGAAAGTCTGTCTGAAGAATGTCATGTTTGAATTTACCCACCTGGAGATGTAAAGTTATTTATTATTTCAGTGAATGTGAAGCATGACAGAAATAGTTCAAGGAAAAGAATGTTCATAAGCTTTTTCTTTTCCATGTCTTAAAAAGTTATTTTGTCAACTTCCGTGAAGTAGTGTTTCTGACAGTTAATGCTTTCATTATTTTAAGTTAAAATACACCCATTACTTGTTTAATGCCTGATCACAAACGGTGCAATGAGCAGTGTTGTTACTTTTCCTCTCTATTACCGGACGGAAACTTCAGAGTCTACTGGCATTTTATTTGTGATTCATTCATTGTGTTAAAGAATTTATATACTATCTCGTTGCTCTAAGAGTTAGATGCTTCATTTGGGGTTTAATAGTTTTCAGCCCTGGGGCCATAATGGTTAAGAGCTCAGCTTGTCTGCTAATCAAAAGGTCAAAAGTTCAAATCCACCAGGTGCTCCTTGGAAACCCTATAGGGCAGTTCTACCCTGTCCTATAAAGGGTTGCTATGAGTCGGTATTGACTTGACGGCAACGGTTTTTATTTCTTTATGCTGGGTTTGGCCATGTGCCATTACCATTTAATGACATCATTACCATTAAATATGGTATCACCAAGTTCAACTAAAGAAACAGGAAATGAACTAAAAATGTTTCTTGAAACTTGTATCCATGTCAGCTTTCAGCAATAAGGATTGCCATCATTTTTAAGTCAAATAATTCAACTAAATGTTATTATCTTTGATTCACCAATTCTTATACTCTCTTGAGCGCAGAAAAGAGTAAAATAAGAGAAATGGCCTAGGAAAACATCATAAGGGAGAATGGCTATAAAACATGGGCTTCATTGTATGGTATGGGATAAAGCAGGGCTCTAATACTATCAATAGAAAGTAACATGGAAAATACATTTTTGAGTGAATTTGTCTTTGTTAGGAATTGTCCCCTGAGACTGACATTCCACATGGTCAGAAATTCATTTGCATTCAGGCTGCATGAAATAACTATAGTAAGTTCAGAGGGCCCAAGCTCGGCATCATACCTTATACATGACTCAAATGTGAGTCAAATTCCTATGAGTAATCCTTTATAATGCCTCTATTTCATGGTGAAATATTAGTGGAATTACACTTGAATGACTCAAAACTGATATACTGGCATATATATATGGCATCTTACTTTCATTGCAGTTTTTATTTGGTCTGCTCACATAACTATCATCAATCAGTTACACAGGACCACAGTTGGCACAAAATTAAGTCTAATGCTTATATATTAGATGAGTAAAATAGTTTTTATGTTAATTTCTAGAAAGCTCATGGAGACTACATTTGACCGCTAAATCACTAGACAGATTCCTAGTTCACAGAGAAAAACCATGTTAATTTTTTGCAAGCCTTCTTTGAACACCTAGACTTAAAACCAGACAAGGAAAGCAGCTCAGAGCCACAGGTTGCAGTACTCAATCTGGGTTTTCCTATGATAGGGGAGGGACCCTGGTGGCACAGTGGTTAAGAGCTACGGCAAGTTACGGCTGCTAACCAAAAGGTCGGCAGTTTGAATCCACCAGCCACTCCTTGGAAACTCTACTGGGCAGTTATACTCTGTCCTATAGGGTCAGTATGATAGGGAAGTAAGTCTTTCAAGGATGAACTAATCCACCTGGAATCTATATTCTGTATTTATTACCAAATTAGGGAAACCAAATACTGTGTTTAAATTTTCAAATCAACAAATTAACCAAATAACCCCAGTATAGAAAAGACTTTATCAGACATAATAGAACAGACATTTCTCTAATTAAACTACAGTAGAGTGCATGCTGCAGAACAGAGAGAAACAGTCTAATCAGATTTAATCATAGCATATGCAGCTACAAACTTTTAACACTGCAAATGACCCTAGAATTTGGCTTCAGTGATCTCAAATGGTTTGGAGTAACTGCACCCCCTCTATAATGAATCCAAACCCCAATATATAGAGCAGGTATGAGAGGCACAGTCCTGACTGAAGTAGGGGAGGGTTCCAGAGACTTGATTTCTCCTACTATGCATGATGGACCCAGGCAGTTCTAGGGCTCTGGGGAGCATTGAGAGAAGAGTAGTGAATCTGGTTCTAACCCTTTATTTTAAATATGATAAAACTGATATCACTGAGGTGATTATCTCAAGGCTGCAAAGCTAATTCTTGGAAGAGCTGAGCTACAACCTGCATCTTCTGACTCCCGATTCATTCCTGTGTACTCTATTACTATTAATTTGATTTTATCTGATTCTATCATGAAACCATGCAAATGTGAAGGACGACATTTAGCTAGAAGAGACTCCTGTACAAATTTTCATTGGCCAGTCATTTTAATGACATTTTTATTGTTTAACAGACACCTCATCTTAATATCAACCTTAACAAATCTTAATGATATCCTTTCTAGAACTGTCACCCACTTAGTCTTCTACCCTTTTGTTTAAATTCTCTCCTAGGCTTGCATTTAATTCTGTTGAAAACAGAGACATATTTCAACCACTGCAAGTGTGCTTGGAATGTTCCAGGCCCTGTGCTAAGTGCCTTACACAGATTACTTTGTTTATGCCTCCCTACAACCATATGAACGCGTTAGGATAGGTTAAGTAACTTGTCTTGCTTCACACAGCAGACACTGTTTATTTAAAAGACCAAATCCATCACACTATACTTCTACAGGATTGTCAGCTCTGTTCCTAAAGACCATCAGAAAAGAGAATGAGATAGTTCATGGCACTTCAGTAATTTCCTTTTATATAAAGGAAAAAGAAACACAAAGTAAATGTCAATAAAGCAACAACTTTATACACATTCTGCATTAATATTATGTAAAAAATAATTTACACACATTACCTCATAGCAGGCATACTTATGGAATGGCGAATGGAGTAGCTTCAAGGCAAAAGCATATTAAAGGGGGAAAAAGAAAGAAAAAAGAAAATAGCATAACATCAGTACATGAAAAACTTCCTATTCACAGTATTAAAACAGCAATACAAATATCTGAAATATGCTCTGCCCACTCTACAAAACGATACTTGTTTTCCTGGGGTATAATGGGCCACTGTCTGCTTCCAATGGTATAAAAGAAGAGTAGATGATCCATGGTTGCATATTATTTCACTCCTTGTAGGCTCCCTAAGTCAGGAAATCTGAGCGGAATGTCTAGCTTTCCCCAGTTCAGCCCAGTAGCCCATGGCCATCCTCTACAGGTCCAATCAAGGTCTTCCTGCCCTGTTCCTGCTCAAGAAGACAGTAAGGATGGGAAGTACAGCCAGCCAGATAAAAGCTAATGGTTCCATTGTAGAGAAACTGTCCAGAGAAATGCACATAATTAACATAAGACGTTCAAGGAATCACATGCCAGACAAACGATTCACACAGTTCAACATAAGAAGACGGACTCAGCATCCTTTCTGGTTTAATTGTCAAGAACATATGGTACAAAAAAAAAAAAAAAGAACTTCTGGTACAAAGATAAATATTCCTGAGAATCCTAAGGGACTCAGCCTTCTCATCCTTTGCCGTCATGGTAGCTGGCTCATCTTCCCTCTGATTACCTATTATTTTCTATGTGAATTTCTCTCAGAAATCAGGCTGGGAGGAGGGAGGAAGCAAAACAGGGTCCATTTTCCTGGGATAGTACTCCCCCATCACACTCTTCAACACAGTCAAGAAGCCAATCAGTCAGGGATCAAACTCATCACCCTTCCCTGACAATATCCACTGAGGTCATTAGTTTGGGCAACACTTTACTAGACCACAAACGGAAAAGGACACAAATTCAGGAGATACTTACAGTCTTACCCAGACACTGTTTAGAAACTATAGACAAAACATTTCCTCAGAAATCACATGAAGAAAAGAACTACTAAAAGAAATTTGTCAGCACTACCAATCTGTTCTTTAAATACATGCAGTTTTCTTAAAGAAAAAAAAAAAAGATTTAAATAATAATAAAATACCAGCAAAAAGAAGGCTACGCTAGAGGCTTGAGCTGACAACCGCACATTTTTTAACATTGTTCCTTTCCAGTAACCTTTCTCCCCTTCAACTTCAGAAGGTACAGAAAGTGGAAGGTGAAATGCCTGCACTAATAACAGTGACAAGAAATTCAGAGAAACGTGACCATCTAGAGAAAATAATTTTCTGTTTCTCAACTTTACTTTCTATAAATTTTATAAAAACACCCAACTCTCAATGTCCATTTTCCTTTTTTTTTCCTTCTTTCAATTTTAAGTGTGGAAGAGCAAAGACCTCTACCAGTGTGGGAAGAAACGATGCAGAAAGAGAGAGTCCTATGAGATTGCTCAACACGTGAAATTGGTTAAAGTCAGGAATGAGATAAATATGTGCCTAAACAATTTTCAAAGGAGCCCTGGTGGTGCAAGAGTTAACCATAAGGTTGGCAGTTCCAGCAGCTCCTCAGGAGAAAGATCTGGTGATCTGCTTCCATAAAGATTGTTGTTGTTAGGTGCCGTCGAGTTGATTTTCGACTCATATTGACCCCATGTGAGAACACAGAACTGCCCCATAGGGTTTTCTAGGCTGTAATCTTTATGGGAGCAGATCACCGGGTGTTTCTCCTGCGGAGCCACTGGGTGAGTTCTAACCACCAACCTTTCGGTTAGCAGCTGAGAACTTAACCACTGTGCCACCAGAGCTTGAGGGCACCTAACAGCAACAACATCAAATAAATTTCAATATATTGAGTGCTCTACAGTCTGTATCTTCCTGGTCATTAACTTGCTCAGAAAAATGGAGCTGATTTTGTTGTTGAGGCACAGTGTGAAAGAAACCGAGGGACACTGGGGAGCAGCAAGGGAGCCGGCCACTTCCCACATGTGGCCAGGACAGTGCTTACCCAATAGAGTGAGATCTGCAGCCAGGCAGCACAGGAAAGAAGAGCAGGAGAGAGTTAGTATATTAGGATGCAAAGAAACAAACACCCTGCCTCCCCTTTGTTGTCCTCTCTTTCAAGAGCTCTAAAGCAATATTAGGTAATTCCATTCCTTACTCAATTTAGGTTCTTTTGTTTGTTTTGTTTTCTTTCGTTCTTTGAGTACACTGACTTTTAATGTATCTTTAAGATTATTTTGCCAACCTTTTAGAAGTTTTGGTCTCTGGGTGGTGCAGTCAACACACTCAGCTGCTAACTGAGGTTGGAGGTTCAAGTCAAAAGAAAGACAGGAACCCAACTTGGAAGAAAGGCCTGGGAATCTACTTCTGAAATATCAGTCACTGAAAACCCTATGGAGCATAGTTCTATTCTGACACACATGGGGTCACCATGAGTCTAAATGACTCCACCGCAACTGGCTTTTATTACTCCCATGGATGTATAGAGATGGTTGAACTTCTCTTAAAAAATTACGTGCCTTCTCTATACATTTCATCCCCAGTGGATCACAGTTGGAACAAATTCACTGCAAAGCTCCAGGAAAATGTCAATATTATTATAAAATGAGTCCAACAGCTTGCATTCCTTCAGAGTACTTTCATAAATGTGACTTCACTTTAATTTCACAGGAAACATTGTAGTTAGGTATGAACAATGCTATTTTATAGTCCGGAAAGAGACTAAGTAATTCCATGACTAGGCCAAGGCATCTTCACTTAACAGCGATCAGGTTAAAATGAGAATACTAGCTCTGGAAATATAATCTATTTTTACAAAACATATAAGTTAAATTCTAACATAGTGTTTTTCCTTCAGTTATTAAAAGGCCCAAATTCTAGGTTTTCAAAATCTATGAGTATAAATTTGGAATTACTTTAAATAAAAACTGTGTTGTACTGTTTTTCTTCCCAGGTATCTGAATTTTGCTGGCAATCTTTTTGATCAAATTCAGAAATTTGTTCTTAGAATTCACAAAAGAAGTTTATAATGTAACTAGTGAAAATATAAAATAATGTGATATTTTAAACCAAAAAAAGATTTAAAATAAAGTGCCTGTGATACAATTTTCCCACTATTATTTTATAAATTACTACCTAAATTTGGACAGAAAATCAAAACTTACTAATTTTTCTCATTTAAGAATCTTTATTAAAGTAAATTTAAGCAATTTTAAAATTTATCATAGTTTAAAACTAAAAACCCTTTGCAAAACTTGTTGCTTTCATAGAGAAGTATCTTCAGGTTAGATGTTATAGTTCAAGAAAAACAAAGCTCTGAATTTTTCCAACTTGACAAAATATTACGGGACTGTACTTGAGTCTTTAAAACATAGGCTACATTTTCCAATATTTTTACCCACAGTTCACAATGAAAATGTTGTATCCTTTGTATAGAATGATAGTTAATGAAAAATTTAGAACTCCTAAGAAATAGGTTCTCCATTAGCTTAAAACAAAGCCACACCAAACCAGGAGGAAAGCCAGTCAACACAATTTAGATATTATACCATCAGTGTATTAACATGAATATGCCAACATATTGCAAGTGTGAAACACAGTCTTCATCCTTTACTATGCTGAAAAAAAAAAAATGAGCAGAACCTTTATGAAATACAGTGGGCTCCTGTTAATGGACTCTCTCTGATTTCCATCATGTGACTCCATCTTATAACTCATTTAATAAAAATAAAAACTAGCATTTATTGAGTGCTTAATACATGCCAGGCACTTTTCTAACTGCTGTTCTTACAATAACCTGATGACGTTGTTAATCTCATGCCCATTTTATAAATGGGACCATCCGGGTACAGACAAGCTAAGTTACAATGGCCCTCCTCATAACCTGACCACCTGAAGCAGAATCACCTGGGAGTTTGTTACAAATGCAGAGTCCTAGATTCCACCCAAGACATACCAAATTGTAATCTCTGAGAGGTGAAATCTAAGAATATGTCGTTTAAATAAGCTTCAGAGGTTTGTAAGGTCCCTTAGACGGAGAAACACTATTCTAGTTGGGGTATTATGCTGAGGTCCCACTGTTAAAGTGAAAGGTTTTACCTAAGTATGTAGAGAACATCTTTTTTTTTTTTAATTTTGTTTTGTTTTCCTAAGTTTTATTCATTTTATTGTTGAGAATATGCACAGCAAAACATACAACATTTTGACAGTTTCTATGTTTACAATTTAGTGACATTGATTACATTCTTCAAGTTGTGCAATCATTCTCATCCTCCTTTTCTGGGTTGTTTCTCCCTCATTAACATAAACTCACTGCCCCCTAAGGTTCCTATCTAATCTTTCGAGTTGCTATTATCAATTTGATTCAATATAGATAATTCTCAAAAGAGTTCAAGGCCTAACAGAGTTCTTAAAAGAGCTTAAGGCAGACATTTTTTACTAGTTAAGCTAAACTACTGTTTGGTTTTAAAAATATATCAGGGGATATTTTTGGTTTAAGGTTTAAAGATTATCTCAGGGCAATAGTTTCAGGGGTTCATCCAACCTCCATGGCTCCGAAAGTCTAGAGTCCATGAAAATTCAAAATTCTGTTCTGCATTTTCCCCCTCTTGATCAGGATTCCTCCACAGAATCCTTGATCAAAATGTTTAGTAATGGTAGCCAGGGTCTTTTCTGTTTTAAGAAATGATTTAATTTGTTTAGATAAATGTTTTAATGTCATTGAATTGACTGCAAATATTATTTGTAATAAACTTAGGGCTAAGTAATAGTTCAGAAGGTTTACCTGTTCATCACTCTCTGACTGAGAAAATTCAATTGCTTTTCATTATTGCAATATTAGTAAAAATGAAGAAAAGACAATGTACTCAGATTCATGTACATGTACTTATTTAACTCTAGGCCCTAAGCTGTTAAATTGATATATGAGTATTTAGCACAACACAGCAATTTTTGAGGCCAAAAAAGTAATTTAAACACAGAGATATAAATATTTACCTCTAAGTATCAAAGCTGCAGGGCAATATAGAAAGTCATAGTTTAAGAATCTAGTGAAATAAGTACCCACAGACTCTTTTTAAAAGAAGAAATATAAAATATACTTTCAAAGCTTTAAAAATGAATTTGATTCCTAGAGAGAAAATAAAATTAGTATCTAGAGAAAAATCTCCTAAGGCCTATCAACCAAATTAAACTAAGTATGCAAAAAAAAGAAAAAAACAGAGTAATAACTCTATGTAAAATAACTTCCTAATACATAATATAAAAAATAAAAACAGCCAATACTACTTTTTTTTCTAGTGCTTACAGTGAGAACATTTGATTCTCCATTCAAAATCTACCTTGATGCTCATCTCAATTTTATATTATAATGAAATACTGAAAATAACAAAAATATACAAGGGGACTTGTTTCAAAGTTTGTCTATAGCTATGAACTGGAAGATAATACAGCCATTAAAACTGAAGGCGTAATAAGTATCTACTAACATATTCACAATGTATTGCTAAAGTGAAAAAAGAAAACTACCAGGAAGTATATACCATGTAGTACCCTTTTAGAATTAAAAAATAAATATGTATATATTTAGCATAGGAAAAAAAGTAATAGATAGCTATTTACAAAACTGTAACCTAAAACAGTTTTTCAAAGCATATTCCACTCAATGCATATTTTAAACTACTATTTAAACTACAGTAGTTAAGATTCAGCATATACTGCGTTCTTGGAAATCTCCCCTCATTACTAGTGATTAAAGGGATTATAAAGCACCCATAGTTTCCATTTTTACTAGGTTCAGTTCTCCTGAAGTAGCATCTTTGGGACCATGCCCATTTCTGACTTTTAGGCAGAAAACATCCCGATATGCAAAATTTATCTCAGTCATCACAGCAGTCACATGAAACTTTAATCCATTAAAATAAAATAATAATAAAAAGAAAGAGTATGTTAAGTAAACCAACTGATAGGCAATGCTGCCCTTGTTTTAGAAGGGCTGAATACTGTTCCCAGGGTTCTTTCCCATAGTACCTCATGTCCCCAAACTTCTTGCTGATGGCGGTCCCAACATTGCTGAATGCTGCAGTTGCCTTCTGCCCTGCATGACTCAGGGTTTCTTGTGTTTTCTTGTAGCTAGAAGTAAAAGAGAACAACAGTAAGTAAAAACATTTCTATATCATGAGCTTCCATCAAATATTCATCTTCTTTCTCCCTCCTTAACTTTGAAAATGCTCTTTCCTAAACAGATTTAGGGAGAAGATAGTGTGCAAAAGTAAATGTTCGTAACTGTCATTTGGGGATGATGGACTGACTGCTGTTCATTAGAGGCAAAGTCAGACCACTGAATCTGAATTCAGAAAGAATATACATGTACAAATATAGATATGAATGCGCAGACCTTTAATGACAAATAGGGGAACTTCTTAAAGTGTATAGAGTTGTTCTTGAAGTATACTGGGTCTACTAAGAAATATTTTCCAAGGAAAACTAGGTAACAGAAATTAGAAAATGTAGGTTTCAAGGGGAAATTTAAGGTTTTACTGGTTGGTTGTTATGTTGTGGTTAGGTCCCGTCGAGTTGCATCTGACTCATAGCGATCCTATGTACAACGAACGCAACACTGCCCAGTCCTGCGCCATCCTCACGATTGTTGTTTGTTTGGGCCCATTGTTGCAGCCACTGTGTCACTCCATCTGATTCAGGGTCTTCATCTTTTTTGCTGACCCTCTACTTTACCAAGCATGATGTTCTTCTCTAGGGACTGCTCCCTCCTGATAACACATCCAAAGTATGTGAGACATAGTCTCGCCATCCTTGCTTCTAAGGAGCATTCTGGCTGTACTTCTTCCAAAACAGATTTGTTTATTCTTTTGGCAGTGCATGGTATATTCAATATTTTTCTCCAACACCACAATTCAAAGGCATCAATTCTTCTTCGGTCTCCCTTATTCATTATCCAGCTTTCACATGCACATGACATGATTGAAAACACTATGGCTTAGGTCAGGCGCACCTTAGCACTCAAGGTGACATCTCTGCTTTTCAACACTTTAAAGAGGTCTTTTGCAGCAGATTTGCCCAGTGCAATGCATCTTTTGATTTCCTGACTACTGCTTTCATGGGTGTTGATTGTGGATCCAAGTGAAATGAAATCCTTGACAACTTCAATCTTTTCTCCATTTATCATGATGTTGCTGGTTGGTTAGTTTGAGTAAATTTAACCAGAAAAATATAACTAGTTATTTAATTTATTTTTCTACTACAAATAGCTGGAAATAGTAATAAGGGCACATTATCTGAACTCAGTATAGTGACTTTGTTCAGAAACAATTTTAAGAATACAACCCTGCAATTATTTGCTTATAAGCCTATGTCCCCACTAGACTATACTCCTCGAAGGCAAGGAAGTCATTCATCTTGTGTTCCCAGTATCTGGCAGACTCAGGAGAAACTCAATAAATGTTGGATGAATGAATGGATAACATAGAAGAGGATGCTCCTCTTAGCTCTAAACTGGAATTTGGCAGTAGGGAAAGAGAGAAGTATGGTGACAGAAGCAAAACAGATAACAGAGGTAGAATTGATAGAACTGTACAGGAGATTTTAAGTGACAAATAAGAATAAGACAAAAAGATTATCCTGAGGTTTTGGGCAAAAATGACAGGAAGGACAGTGGTGCCATCTGTAGGACTGAAAATGTTCTAAGAGTGATTTAGTAAAATGAGAAACAAAAGATACGCAACTTGAGGGAATAAAAAGAAATCAGCAAAAAGGTATATAAAAACCAAACCAAACCTGTTGCCATAGAGTTAATTCCAACTCATGGTAACCCCATGTGTTACAGAATAGAACTGTTCCACAGGGTAAAGAAGTAAAACAGAATAACAGTAAGTAACAGTTTCTATATCATGAGCTTCCATCAAATATTTATCTTCCTCCTTACTTTCAAAATGCCCTTTCCTAAACAGATTTAGGGAGAAGATGGTCCACAGAAGTAAATATTCCTAATTGTCATCTGGGGATGATGTGCTGTAATCTTTATGGAAGCAGATTGCCAAGCTTTTCTCCTGTGGCACTACTGGGTGGGTTCGAACCACCAACCTTTAGGTTAGTAGCCTATTGCAAACCACTTGCACCACCCAGGAACCTAGTTCCTCCAAAGCCACCTGCATATCCTATAACAACTGTATGCATATGGTACTTTTGAAGACACTTTATATCATATGAAATCAATTACATCTATGATTTACTTCTCCACCTCTGTTTCTGCCCTTCCATCGCCCACAAATCACCCAGTCCTAAATGTAATATTAGACTTTAACGAAACGCTTTAAAACATGTCCATTGGTAGCCCTTGGGGATGGAAATTGCTTTATTAATACTGTAGTCTCTTTTTCTGTTAGCAGAATGAAATGATGAATCTATAATATTATCAGCAGCATAAGTTATTTACTTACACAATCGCTGTTTTCCAGGAAGTGTAAAAAACCATACATCATTTGGACCATCAAACCAATGGTCTAAGCAGACATTTGCTGCACAGACATTTTCTAATGTTCCTTGTGTGTGCTACACTACAATGCCTTTTGGGTTACAAGGTGATTAAAAATAAAATCCTCATCAATTGGGTTTATAGTTTAAGAATAAACATACAAATTCAGTTGGGTTAAACTAATGAAACGTTAAAAAAAAAAAAAATAAAAGCCACAAGATATCTCAACTTCCTTGCTCCCTACTGAAAATAAAAAATCCATGTTTTTTTAATTAATTAAATGTTTTTTCCAAGTTCTCAATATTGCTCTATTTTCTCTTTCCTTTCCTATCAAACTTTTTTTTAATATTTCCGTTTTTGTTGTGTTGAAAATGTACACAGCAAAACATATACCAATTCAACAATTTCTACATGTACAATTCAGTGACAATGATTACATTCTTCAAGCTGTGCAACCATTCTCACTCTCCTTTTCTGAATTATTCCTCCATCACTAACATGAACTCACTACCCCCAAGTTACTTCTCTAAAGTTTTGAGTTGCTGTTGTCAATTTGATACCATCCCATCAAACTTCTTAAAAGCTGTTCATTGCTTCAACCATCTCACCTCCCATTTGCTGCTTAACCCAGTCTAGTGGGGGTACACCTTCAACATTCCAACATAATTACCTCTTAGTCACCAGATTCTTTTCTGATGCTCACCCCCCTTGGTCTTTCTACGTTTGGTAATGCTGCTTATACCCTGCTATTATGTCATTCTGGTTCTTCCGTGTCTGGGAGGTCTCCTGTCCTCTGCTGGTGGCTCCATGTTCCCTGCTCAATAACAACAGCAACAAAAGGGTGGCTAAAGCTTAGGCCCTCTCTCCTTCTTAGTCTGCTCTTTTTCCTTTGTTGTTGTTGTTATTAAGTGCGGTGGAGTCAGTTCTGACTCATAGTGATCCTATGTACAACAGAACGAAACACTGCCCGGTCCTGCATCATCCTCAGAATCATTATGCTTCAGCCCATTGTTGCAGCCACTGTGTCAATCCATCTCGTTGAGGGTTTTCTTCTTTTTCGCTGATCCTCTACTTTACCACGCATGAGGTCCTTCTCCAGAGACTGGTCCCTCCTGATAACATGTCCAGAGTATGTGAGATGAAGTCTCATCATCTTTGCTTCTAAGGAGCGTTCTCACTGTCCTGCATCCAGGACAGATTTGTTCTTTCTTCTGGCAATCCTTTTTCCCTTAGAGAGCCTATTCACTCTCAGAGTTTTAACTAATATCAACAATGAGGATGCGTCTAACATCTTTCCTAATCACTCATCAAATGGAACATGATACTGCTTTGCTAGAATAAAAAATAATGTTCCATAAGCATAAAGTATACTTAATTTATGTTTATATACCACTTTGCAAGGTTATTTCACACATATCACTTGTTTTTTTAAATAACTATAATACCTATCAGGCAATATAGCGTAAGCAAGAATAAAATAGATTAGACATTTTTTATTCACATGAAAAGTTTGAAATAGACATTGTTAGAAAATACACCTAGGCAGAACTTTGTAGCAGGTGTCTGCTGTAAGACTGTCCAAGACAAATTCCACAAGGAGTCAGGTCTTGCTTTCATTCTTAAAATCAAATATTTTATATGTCTTTTAACACATATCTCTAGAATTGATTCTTAATGTGTATATATGCATCTGTGTATCTGCATGTGTTTATATGTGGTAAATGGTTAAATTAGGTCCCTAGGTGGCACAGGCCTGACGACCTGCTTCTAAAAAGTCACAGCCTTGAAATCCTTATGGGGCAGTTCTACTCTGCACACATGAGGTCATGAGTCATAAATGACTTGACAGCATCTAACTAAAAATATTAATATCTAACTTGTTGTTCAAGAGAAGGTAGTTAAAGTAGAACTAAATGCTAAAGGCCAGAAGTAAAAACATCAATCATTATTACAAGACTTTAGTGAAGTGTGATCGTGAAATGGCAGAAACATTTCTTCTTCAGAAGAAACATGCTATTAAAATAGTTTCCAAAGCAGTGTCCTGCTCAGAAAATACTCTTTAAAAACAAGACGTAAATACAGTTTTTATTTTGAAAAATAAAAAGATTTACTTACAAATAAGTAAAATAAAAATATGAAATTCCTATTCCAGTTATATTTTTGGGATACTGACAAAGTCTTCACAAAGTAGTATTTGGGCGACGAAACCAGATCTATGAAAACCAAACCAAGTCCATTGCTGTTGAGTCAATTCTGACTCATAGTGACCCTATAGGAAAGGGGAGAACTGCCCCATAGGGTTTCCAAGGCTGTAAATCTTTACAGAAGCAGACTGCCATGTCTTTCTCCCATGGAGCAGCTGGTGAGTTCGAACTGCCAACCTTTTGGTTAGCAGAGAGTGCTTAACCACTGTACCACCAGGGCTCCTTGATCTATGAGAAGTGTATTTTTTTTTTTTAAAAAAAAAGGCTATTCCGTGTCTAGAAGTTGGGAAGTTTGGAAGTGAGGAAAGCACAGTATTATATACAGATGAAACATGTTCTTGTACTATGGAATCTTTCTATCCGAAGAGAAGAGAATATAGGCGTATAAAACTTCCTGTCTCATTTCTCAATTTAGGCAAATGGGGATAGCTTTCCGC